AGTATATATATATATATATATATATATGTTAAGCAGCACAACTGTTTCCAACATTAACAAATCAGCATGATTTCTGAAAGATCATGTCACACTGAAGACTATAGTAATGGCTGATGAAAATTCAGTCACCACAGGAATAAATTGTTATAAAGTATATAATACTACTACTACATGGTATAGTGTATATATATATATATATATATATATATATATATATATTTCACACTGAACTGTATAATTGTCCCTACATGACTGTGCTAGTTTCATGTCTTTCAAATCACTGTGCAGTCTCTTCCTTCTTACAATAATAATTTCCTTCTCTCATTAATAATTTAAACTCGATTCTATTTTAATGTCCGTTTATTTATATATTTGGTAAGTAGCCATATAATTATTGAGATAATGTACAGAGAGCCGATCATTATGCTTCAGTCAACCCCACTGGGTGATTGTGAAAACTGACTGCACATTTTCCCTTACAAGTTTTATAATAATACAAATTTTAGGAAATGTTCATACTCTTTAATTCTTCAATGCATAATACAACTGAACTTTTTACCATGGTTGTTTTACCAAAAGTTTCATTTGAAAGTTAGAATTCCTTTGTGTTTTTAATATTTTATTTTGTGAATAATGCACATGTTTTGCAGACAGTTCAACTTGTGTTACAACATATCATGTGTTTAACCAGGCAAACAACTCTAAGCATCAATAAAGCGCACTTAAGTTCATCACTGTTAATTTGTGCAGTCAGCTGTCTAGTTTAGCTTCGGTCAGTTCTCTGACCCATTGTGTGTTGTTTATTATCCATTTACAAATTATAGCCAGAACTCACATGGCAAAGTTCATTTGTCCTGCAATTATTTTGAAGACTAATTTCCATTTGTTTTTAATAAACAGTTTAATATATACAGTACATATTGTGCATATGCATTTGGAAGGACAGATATTTTAGGATGGCTAGTATAAGTTTTAGTGCTTGGTTAAGCCTAGTATGTCTTTGAAAGCATTTATTGCCCTGTCAAGCTCCAGATTCAGCAGGAAATAATGTTAGGGACAGGCAATACTTTCATTTGACATAATAGCACTAGATTGTGTATGCTTTCTTCTTGTTGCCTGCTGACAGATTTCACATATATGTGCTCTTATAGTTCTTCAAACTACAAGTGGCCACTCCTTGTCTGCAGAGGCACTGCCATCTGTCCACTCTCTGACCCCAGTACACGCTAACCCAGACATCTGCCACCAGGTTTATATGCATTTCCCATTTACTACCAGCACGCACTTTCGTCCCTGTAGGGGAAAGTTAATAATGGAAAGCTATAAAGCAAGAACCAAGGCCAGGTCTATGAAAAATAAAACACTTTTATGCCTTTTTTTTAATTTATTTCTTGCATTTGGTGACATTTATTTGAAAATGCCTCGGAGTAACATATTTTGTACTGATTTTGGAAATGCTTTTACCTTTGGGGAGATTTCAAAAATCTTCACTGGTTGGAGGTTGGAGGGATCTTTTATGATCATGGTTTATGGCCAACTTCAAATATTTACAGGGAAAGTTATTGCACAGCACTGGCATTTGCAAGCAGGTTTACTAGCTATTAAGAGCAAATGTTACTTGTTTTCACGTTTAAGTGTTTAAAACCTTTGCCCTAGTGGGGTCACGTACAACATAATATATAAGATAAATTTGAAGACACATATTTGTCACAAATATGGCTTTATACAGTTTTATCAACAGTAAATTTGTGGCAATAGATACATTTAATTCACTCTTTTTTTATTAGTGATGGCAGTCAATGATGGCAAATTACAATGACCAAATGACAAAACAAGTAGCATAAATGCTTTGAAACAAACAAAATATTGTACTTGACTCAAAACGAAGTCAAACATGTGCAGCGGACATTAATAAATGTAAATGCCAAGCTCAATTATGTTTACATTTATAAATTGAAGATGAGTCAGAGGAGTCTTCCAGATGCCACACAGATATTTCACTCTGAAAAATGAAAAAGCAGAAATTTAATTATTGCTTAAGGATACAATAATTATAATACTTTTCCCAACCAGCAGAATGTTTAAACGGTTGATCCCCCCCCCCAAAAAATAATGAAGTAAAGACATTTTTATCTTTTTCTGTATTTTTATATTCTTTGTGGTTTCTATAAATATTAAGCAGCATTGTTTTCAACACTGATAATACTTGAGCAGCAAATCAGCATATTAGAATGATTTCTGAAGAATCATGCGACACTGAAGACTGCAGTAATGGCTGCTGAAAATTAGGCTTTGCACCATATGAATGAATTACATTTGAAAATATATTCAAATAGAAACCAGTTACTGTAATTTTTTTTATAACATTTTACAATTTTACAGTTTTATTATATTTTTGATAAAATAAAGGCAGTTAAGCACAAGAGACTACTTTTAAAAACATTGTTTTACCAAACAACAGTGTATATGTGCAGTTTATACATATTTATTTAATTTACGTTCATGCAGAAACTTATTTATAGATATAGAGTATACTGTAGCTCAACATATATGTACACTTACATGTACGCAAAGTCAAACTACAGCTGGTGTTTTCACACATATTCTGACAACATACCTAAGATTGTCAGCTGTGCGCTGCACTCAGCACGGCCTAAAGAGTTTTCTGCCACTACTTTGTATTCTCCGTTGTCTTTGGCACCGACTCTCAAGATGAGCATGGAACACACTCCACAGGTGTTAGTGATGTAGTAGTTGGTGTCAGTGTTGAGGCTGACGTTGTTGCGGTACCAGGTAACATGAGGTATGGGGTTGCTTCTCACTGCACAGCTCATGTAGCACTCGTATTTCTCCGGGGTAGTGTGCGTCTTTAGGGGAACCGTGAAAATGGGAGCAGAGTCAAAGTTGCAAGGTTTGGATGGGGGTAAGTTGAGGCTGAACTTTTCTGCAGGAGATAAGAAAGCATGCTAAATGGAACAAAGAATTTCAAGGAGCAGATTTAATATTCTTTATCGAGAGTGGACCAAGAGGTAGAAATACCAGCCAGCTCACCTTTCTTCCTTACAATGCCCCATGTCAGGGACTCAGATGGTTCTGAGAGGCCTATGTCATTTTTGGCATACACACGGAAGTTATATTCCCTTCCTGGCATGATGTTGACTGCTGTGAAGTTGTTGTTGAACAAGCGGTCAGCGACTGTATGCCAGGTGCGTTTGATGGAGTCCCGTTTCATCACCATATAGTGCAAGTGATTATCTCGTTTCTCATCAGGAGATGGTTTCCAAGAAACTGTTAATGTGCCAGGGACATTTTCTTCCAGCTCCACTGGGCCAGGTGGCTTTGGATCATCTGCAAACATGCCAGGTATCCACACAATCCATAACTTTCCTCAATGTTGTCTTTTTGCCAAGTAGGATGTGTTCTTTGATAAAGAAGTTTTTGGTCCTGGAACAGCTAATAACAACCACTGAAGTGAGTGAAATGGTTGATTAATTGCTGAAGACTCAGCACTAAGTCTAACCCTAAAATCGGATTGGTTGATATTGTTCCAGGACGAACAAGTGTGTTTATCCTGAGACACATTCTGCGTGCAAAATTGCAGTAAGCAAATTAGATTTCAGGCTTGATGTGCTTGACTCTCTCACCCGTCACTCTGATCTCAACACTGAACGTCTCCTGACCCACTATGTTCTTGACTATGATGGTGTAGATCCCGCTGTCAGAACGCTCGGCACTGGGAATCAGGAGCTGGGACATCCCATCTGTATTGCTCACAGTTACACGTTTGGACACAGGCATTCCATCTTTCAGCCAGATTATAGTTGGCATTGGGGATGCCTGGATATGAGAGTTAATATTTTATTAAAATAAGTAGATAAGACATCTGAGGATAGGAAAATGCCTGTTTAGTAAATACCACCATTTAGTTCTACAGCATTGGAATACCTCAAAATATATGTTGACCCGAGCTGAATTTTCAGCTCTCACAACCATAAAGCTCTTCATTTTGCGATTGGTGAAATTTGGCCTCACTGAAAAAGAGATTTGAGGAGTAGCAAATTAATGTTGATGTAACAATAATGTTAACAAATACTTGCAAAAATGCAGTAAGTCAAAAGTTTGGATACACACTCATTTTTATTAGTACTACTTTCCAAATTTTAGATTAATAGTGAAGTCAACAAAACGTCTCTAGGTTACGTATGTAACCATGGTTCCCCGAGGGAACGAGACGCTGTGTCGAGTCGCTTTGGGAACGCCCTTGCGTGACCATGTTCTGAAGCACGTGTCAAATCCGTCCAATGGAGCAGCGAGACGTCACGAGCAGCGTGACGTAAGCACCAGAAAGCATAAAAGCACATCCGGCCGGGCGCAAACCAGCTTCGATGAAGTAGCGCCTGCAGGGATGCAGGGAGTATGGCAAAGAGACACAGCGTCTCGTTCCCTCGGGGAACCATGGTTACATACGTAACCTAGAGACGTTCCCCTTCAGGGGACGAGCCCGTCTCGGATCCCTACGCTAAATCCACCCGCGGTCCCCACGACAACAGTCTGCGCTGTGCCTGCCAGCGGGATCACGAGCCTGGCCGCTCTCATCAAACGCAGCCAGGCGAGAGCGGAGCGTGCGCAGCGAGAGCTCGCAGTGATGACAATCAGCTGCTGGAAAGCTGACCGCGCATGCTCTGCTCCTAAACAAACGACACACACATCGTGTGTATCCCCCGCCGCCAGATATCGTGGGCAGGGAGAAACACAGCGTTTGTAATGCCGTTCGCTCGCCATAGACTTTCTCATTGTTTTATATATATATATGAGTGCTTGTGCGGACAGACAACAGTAAATAGACAGACACATACACAGAGCGCTACTGAAGAGCAGAAGCTGGTTTGCGCCCGGCCGGATGTGCCTTTATGCTTTCTGGTGCTTACGTCACCCTGCTCGTGACGTCTCGCTGCTCCATTGGACGGATTTGACACCTGCTTCAGAACGTAGTCGCAAGGGCGTTCCCAAAGCGACTCGACACAGCGTCTCGTTCCTGAAGGGGAACTATGAAACTCACAGCTTCTCTCAACCAACTTCATGAAAGGCATTATAGGATGTTTTTTAAACACAATTAAAAAAAGTTCACATGCATACTGGGCACTTGTTGGTTGATTTTTATCTTACCTGGTCCAAATCATTCAAGTATAAATTATGAACCATTAAATATATGTAAAATGTTAGGTTTTAAAGAAAATGCAATTTATACTTATTTACAAAAATATTTTCAAGCATTCATGCAAAGGGGTTTTAAAGCCTTTGAATTGCTTTGGGTAAAAGCCTTTGAAAATGCATATATGTAAGTTAAATGTTAAAAATCGGAAGAAATGTACAATCAGTGAGGTGCATCCACCTTTTGACTGGTAGTGTACACATTATATAAAAATCATATTATACCAGGTGGAGGCATGGCAATGATGTAGTTGTCCAGATCTCGGGGTTCCCCATCACCTCCTTCATTGGTTGCAACCACTCGGACCCAGTACATAGCCATAGACTTGAGGCCAAGAATTGTATGGGAAGTTGCAATGAGCGGGTTTGAGTTGCAGCGACCCCATTCTGTGTTCTCAGCTGGCCTTAATTCCACAAAATAACCTTTAGCTTCATCCTGGACACCTTCCTCCTCCTTCGGTTTAGTCCAACTCAAAGACAAAGAGGTATAGGTGGAATCTGTGACTTTCAGGTCAATGACTTTACCAGGGGGTTCTGAAATCCCAAATTGAAGCACAAAAAGGTCAAGGTAATTCAGTTGTAGAATTATTATTTTTTCTTGTTCCTTTGTGCTTTATTCCAGCAGATTTTGTATCATAAAAATGCTTATAAAATGTGTTAATGTGATAAATATTTGAGTGTTGTTGACTTACTTTTTGGATCTCTGGCTATCACAAATTCAGAGGGTGTGCTTGGTTCTCCAGCACCAGAGAAGTTGATGGCTGACACATGGAATTCATATTCCATTCCTTCAATAACATCTTTCACATCATACTGTTTGCCTAGGAGAACACAATGAGTGAAATTGGCGCAAGCAAAAGCCTAGCATGTTTTAAAAAACTCACTAAATGGCAGTTCAAAAAGTATATTAGAACTATGAGATCTACGAAAAATAAAGAAAACCTTTGATTGGCTCATCAGGGGGGTTCACTTGACCCCATATGTTGCTGCCCCGTTTACGTTTCTCCATATTGTAGCCAACAATGTTGGTTCCACCAGTGTTGGTGGGAGGTGACCATGCCAAAGTGATGCAGTTCTTGAAGGCACTGACCACTTTGGGTGTAGATGGTGGTCCAGGATATGCTGGAACAAATCAGTCCTTTATATGTAACAGTTTCTATGATAATGAGTGTTTGCTTACATTTTCAGTGATGCTATTTAAGATCTAAACACATGTAACCTCACCTTTGGTGCCAGCCTGGATGTCATTTGTCTCAAAAACATCACTAGTACTCTCTGCAGTCACGGCCCTGATGCGATAGCAGTACCTCCTTCCATGGTCCACATCAGTGTCCTTGTAATGGGGCTCTCCAGGGATATTTCCAATCTTCGTCCAGGTGTTGCGTCCAATCTGGTTACGCTCAATATAGTAGTTTTTTATAGGAGAACCGCCATCGTCCTTTGGGGGTCTCCACTTGAACTCCACACAAGATGCCGAGGCTTCTAATACTTCAACAGGTCCCATTGGGTTGGTGGGTTTATCTGAATTACAAGAAAGAAATTAACCCTGACGAAGGCCTGCTTGGGCTGATACGCGTTGGTATCTTTTTAATATGTAGCCCTGTCTTAGAATAAAGGCTTTTTACTTTGCTTACTATGTGAGTGCCTGGATGTGGATTTTTTTGTGTTTTGCGACAGGATCCACATACTGTATCATTTTTTACAAGAAAGAAATGGCACCGATTTATACTGTAGTCGCACCGGTAGTGACGTCATGGCTGTCGCCGGCCAACGAGTTGGTGTTTTTTCAATGTATGCTTCAGATACGAGTCACGACGAGGCGTTCCCCATAGCGACCCCTAGAGGACGCAGTGTCTCGTTCCCTACTCAGGGAACCATGGTTACATAAGTAACCCGAGACGATCTTGATGGTCTTTGTACAAGGGGGTGTATACCAATGTCTTGTGGATTATGAATTGGATTATATTTGTAAATTCCATTAGGAACTGGTTCTATACATTTCTCTTTACTCTTACATATGAATGTTACATGGCTTTTCATGTACCAACCTAGAACGATGAGTCTTGAAAGGGCCTCAATGGTTCCAAACTCATTTTTGAGCTTCAGCTTTATTTCTCCACTGTCTTTACGTTGACATTTCACAAGTAGAAGGCGACTGTGACTATCTGACTTCTCAATCCTGATGTGATTATCTTCAAGCATCTCTTCACCCTCGTTGTACCACTGCACTTTCATTGGCTCACGACCTACAAAGTCCATTTTGAAAGTTGCATTTTGGCCAACCTTGATTATCACAGGCTCTGAGAATTTAGCCAAGTCATCTTGATTCATCCTTGGTGGGTCTGAAACAGAATACACAAGAGAGTTTACTTTTAAAGTTTCGGTAACACTTTATGGTAAGGGTACATGAATTACCATGAATTCATGCATAAATTAATGTGTGAATTATGCATTACTTCATACATTAATATCTCATGAATTATCAGGAAACTAACATGAGTTCAAAGTCTTTCATTCATGACTTCATGGATGAACAACACCTCATTTAAGACATTAAGTAAGGTGAGTACATCATCATGATTTATAATTTATTACGCATGATCATGATGTTTTCTTTGTTCACAAAAAACAAGGTCTTTACTATCCATTGTGGATAAAGCTATTCTTATGGCGCATGATTAAAAAAAACATTATTTTGTGCATTTAAGACTAGTTGAATTATTAAAGGAATTTACAAACATCCACATTACCTCATGCATGCATACAGGCTAGAACAGTATATCAATTAATGTGAGAAGTAATGTTTTTCATTAAATATGAGATGAGTTATCAAGCATGTTCATATCTTCTTCATATTAGCCTGCAGGTAAATGGACAGACCCCAACATTGGCCAATCACAGCACATAGTATGTGAATTCTGTTAACATCCAAATACAGTAGTCATTATTAACTAAGCATTAGCTTCTCATGACTTCATCATGTTTGTGGCCCCTCAACTAAAGTGTTGACCAGACCCCAACATTGGCCAATCACAGCACATATCACGTGAATTCTGTTAACATCCAAATACAGTCATCATTAACTAAGCATAAGCTTCTCATGATTTCATCATGTGTGTGGCCCCTCAACTAAAGTGGTGACTTGGTCCTTTGGAATACTGATAAACAGTGTGTTATTAATGATGGCATAATTGTGAAATGACAAGAATATGAACATGAAAGTTCAAGCTTTTGCACACAATGTATTGTGTACACAAAGGAACTTTGATCTAAACTTTCTGCTTTATTCATGGTATATGAAGTCACCACTTTAGTTGAGGGGCCACACACATGATGAAATCACGAGAAGCTAATGCTTAGTTAATAATGACTACTGTATTTGGATGTTAACAGAATTCA